TGTCAGTAGATTAGTTCCTTGGATCTAGGTTGTATAGGTGTAGTTCCTTAGAATTGCATGGCTGTAACTTTATATTCAGTGAAGCAGCAATCCTGACCGGAAAGTAAATTTTTCATACGCATTGGCAAGGGCATTAGCTTGGTATTTCATCTATAGTGTTCTCATTATTGGACTGGAGTAGAGTGACAGCAGATAAATTCACAAAAATTAACAAGTGAAGCAACACAAAGGTTTGAAACCTAATATTAATTGTGTATCCTTGTTTTTCCAGAGTCATGTAGGGTGGGAAGGCACATTATTGCAAAAGGTTCCGGGCTAGTTGCAAGCTTCTGGATGCGGTAAAACAGGTAGAAAACATTAACTATTAACTCGAATCACAAAAAGGGGGGAGGGGGCTGGTGACCTAAAAAGGAATTGAAAGAAATATTTTACAGAGATGTGACTTCTTTTATGTTTTCCCAAAAAAAAAGAAAAAAGACTTCTTTTATGAACCAACCCTACACATTAGGACGAAAGCAGTTCTTTTTGTCCCGGAAAACTGGTTTGCGACTTTTAATCTGGCTTCTTTCTTTAGTCTTTACCTAACTAACACGCTTCAATGTTTCATTCTACCGAAGTGCTCCATTTCAGTTTTCCCTCTGTATGTTTAAATTTGTAAATCGGAAGGCGTCTCGAAAATATGGAGTAGGGATGCTTTACTTGTTTTATTGTTCCACTTAAAATTTTAGTATGAAAGACGTTTGAATACCTAATGCTTGGTTTTCTCTGGTTGAATTACAAGAGACTTATTATTGGTGGTTACTTAAGTGTAGTCTGGTGCAAATATGGGTGGGGTAATATGGTGTTTCAGGTAGCAAGTGTAGTAACATTATCCGAATCTTCTGATTTGGCAAGGGAAGTTGTTCTGTGTAAAGCCTGTTCTTGCATGTTGTGAATGCAGGCTGTTTTGTGATACATCCCTGTCTTTTGCCAACTATACTTTCAATGCTGACTGACTTTAGCTTAGTTGAAGCATCCTGCTGAAAGATTTCATAAATTTGTGTGTGTGTGTAATGGTTGATTGATTTTAAATATTTTTAATGGTAAATTGCAAGGACTTCTGTGAGTCTACGCTTTGTCGCCTTTTTGCTAATGTGTGATCTTGAGAGACAATCAGACTTTGAGATTAATGTTTTCTTTTGCATGGGCTTTCGGCCAATCTGTTTTTATTTGATCCAACTAATTTCGGTAGTCATGTTAACAGCAGCACGGGACATTTCTGTTAACATGACCACATCGGCAGTCAAAAGTTATCAGCTTTAACTATTTTTAAAATGTATTTCTGTTATTGAAAATGGCATTAAACATTTATTATATGATCCCCTTCAGGAACTGAATCTTATTTAGAGACGTCTTACACTAAACGCAAGCAAGTAGGAAGGTGAATATGTTACATCAGAGAACATGATCCTGGTTCTATCGGTCCCGGTTGCATTTGTCCTCGTGAGCCTGGTACTACAATCTTTTTGGAAGTGCATTTCCTGCTTGGAAAATTTTGTGATTCGGTCAAATGTGTAGATATGAAAGTTGTAATTGCTTTGGACTGTTTAAGACGAGTCTAGTGGAGAATTTGAAGATGCCACAGCCTACGGCATCAATATGAGCATATATGTCCTTATATTTTCATGGATTTGTGTTAAATCAAATTTTCTTTTCATTTATTATTTCAAAGATATAACTAATGTCCATTGTGTTACAAGCTTTTTGTTTATTCTTTATCACCAAGGTTTGCAAAGATTTTCCACATCTCTGTTGTGCTCCTCCAGAAGAACCCTTAATATGCTAGTATAAGGATGTAATTACAAACCAAGCTGTTCCATTTCGAGGAAGAGTTTTAATCCAAACTCTTTCTTGATTATGACTCTTAACATATTCCAGGAACCCACATCGTGAATAAGAAGCTATTCCGGCTTTGAGCACAATATTCCGGTTTCCCAACCCTTCAATACTTAGGGATGGAGCTGCATTGTTAAACTTGTTACTGAGTTTCATCAAGCGAAGTCAGGAGGGAGCATACGTGGCATAGTCAAGGCGCATGCCTTCATGTTCCATCCATTTAAGCAACCCGAAAGCAAGTCTCCTGACTGATTTCTGCTCAACCAGCAATTAATCAGTGCATTGCATGACACAGAATTACATACCAGCTATGCACTGAAATACCTTCTACTAACAATGTAAGCATTTAGCTTTCTTTCCTAGAATATGGTTCTTTTGTGTTGATTTTGGTTTTGCATGAATCCTTGTGTTGCTCAGATTTTGTCATCAATTTCAATCCAGAGTCAATTAAGTTCTTATGTTATGTGTTCATGGATGATGTGGACTTTGTTGAGGATGAGGAGAATGCAGCATTTTGAAGTACTACTATATTTACTTGAAACTTGAAAACATGCTGAAGAACTCGATCAAATGACTTAAAACCAGTTTGTTTTTGCTGCTTCTTTTGCAATCCAGTTTCTGATAATTTAGTAGTAGCTTTAACCTTTGACAGGAAAAGTCTTTCTTCCACCCCGGAGTGCAGAACTATGATGTGAATTTGGGGGTTCTATTAAGGTTATGATTCTGAATCCGACGTTTTCGATGAAAGACAAAATGAGCGAGTTGTCGGAAGAACCTCTTGAAAGAAGAGGACTGTGATGTGAAAAGTGAAACCTCGACTATTGCCTGTTGCATTCGCCGCCTTGGTGGTTTGGTGATTGATTCCTTTACAAAATGAAGCAGGCATATTTATATGCATTCATCAAAAAAGATGGTCTACTTCTTGGTGCGAAATATTTTCTGAATTCATCAAATACTGAAATTGTAACCATCTTTTGCGTATCTAACTCGATGATTCTTGTTGGTATATGCTTTAGTAACCCTGCTGAAAACTCATTCATAAACCCCCCCTCCCCCCCGTTTCATGTGCTAGTGAAATGTTACGTTCTTTCTCCTCTTTTTGTATTAAAAAACAATACAATAAAGGAATAGAGTGTTTCCAAAGTATTATTTCCCTATTTGCAAAGCCACTTGGATTCTTTTTTATTCTTTTTGTTCCAAAATTATTGTCTAGTTTACATTATTACATTTAGTAGGATTTGATGGAAACATGAAAACCGAAATTGGACAATCATTTTGAGACGAAAGGCAGTATCATGTTTCCATGTTTTTAACCACAATTTTGGAGCCATTAAAAATTAAATTGAACTCCTCTATTTTAAAGGCATTCCCTGATTTTTCTTAACCAATCACATAACCATAATCGCACTAATTTTGATACGAACTGAGGATTTGACCGGTTTTTTTAGAAATACATGTAAACCGCCACTATATACTAGACCACAAGTTAGAAATGTTGGATCTACATTAAATTACATGTAAACTTTCGGACTAAAGATGAAATTCCTTAACTTGGACTTAACGATTTTAACCAGAGGGTGTTTGAACTTCGAAGTCTGAACGACGGCGGACGGCGTAGCTATTCCCGCAACAGAGAACGACGGCGACGACGATGACGATGAAGATGATGGGAGCGAATGGAAAAGCTCTTTCAGAATTAGTTGTAAGGAACTCTTTACTTTCATTGAATTGTATACCGTACTTCGCCTTAGAATATCACACAGCTGCCTCCGCATGCAGTCCTGCTTCAAACAGCGGCCATTTGAATGGAAGATTAAAATCTGGGTTTGCCAATATTATTCAGAGTTCAGAAGATGCCCTGAATTTATACAATCAGATGGTCCGAATGAGCCCTCCGCCTTCTGTTATCGACTTCAATCAACTGCTTGGCCGATTGGTTAAGTTGAAGCACTACCCTCTTGCCATATCTCTCTACAAAGATATGACTGCTTTACGATTTCCGGTCAGTGATTACACATTGAACACTGTGATTAATTGTTACTGTTTGTTGAATAATGTTGATTTTGGGTTGTCTTTGCTGGGTGGGTTTTTTAAGCGTGGTATTGTACCTAATGTGTGCACCTTTGGTACTTTACTCAAAGGCCTTTTTAAAGAAAGACGGATTTTACAGGCTCAAGGCTTGTTTAAGAAGATAATTCTGGAGAAATTATGTGATCCTGATGTTGCCCTCTGTGGGGGCGTGATAGATGGGCTCTGTAAGGTGGGGAATACTAGAATGGCCATTGAATTTCTTAGAGATATGGAAAGAGGAAGAGTTGAGCCGAATGCCATAATTTACAGTGCTATCATTGATAGTTTGTGCAAAGATAATCGGGTTGACGATGCCATTGTTCTTTTACGTGAAATGATTGGAAAGGGCATTAGCCCGGATGTTATTACCTTTACTTGTATGATCAAGGGCTTGTGTAATATAGGTAAATTGAGTGAGGCTACTACCCTCTTCAATGAGATGATGGATTTGGGCGTTGCTCCTAATAGGCATACTTTTAATGTTTTAGTTGATGCCATGTGTAAGGAAGGGAAAGTGAAAGATGCTGAGGGTTTAGTCCATATGATGACTCAACGAGGCGAGAACCCTGATGTGTTCACCTACAATGCCCTGATCGAGGGATGCTGTTTTCAGGGTCGAATGAACAAAGCAAGGAAATTTTTTGATGACATAATTGGCATTGGGATCGTTCCAGATATGTTCAGTTATGGCATATTGATAAATGGGTATTTCAAGAGATATGAAGTTGATCAAGCAATGAATCTCTTCCAAGAGATTAAGCGTAGTGGATTAACACCAAACGCCGCCGTGTACAACATTGTCTTACAGGGATTGTTTAAGGCGGGGAGGCATGTCACTGCAAGAGATTTTTTCAGTGAGATGCAATCAGTTTCTGCAACTCTTGATTTTCATAGTTATTGTATAATGTTGCATGGCCTATGCAAGAGTGGTTCTGTTGATGAAGCTTTTGAACTTCTGCATAAGTTGGAAGCCGAAAGAATTGAACTTCATACACCAATGTATAATATTGTTCTTGATGGTATGTGCAAATGTGGGAGGCTTGATTCTGCAAGAGATGTTTTCCGTAGTATCTCCTTGAAAGGATTGGATCCTGACGTCACAACTTATAACACAATGATAGCTGGCCTTTGTAGAGAAGGTTTGGTGAAGGAGGCTAAAGATTATATTGTGAAGATGGAAGAAAATGGTGTGTTGGCAGATGAAAGGACATACAACACGATTATTCGAGGACTTCTTAAAATAGATGAATTTGATGATGCAGCAATCTATGTTGAAGAGTTACTTCGACGAGAATTTTCCTTGGATTCATCAACTTTCTCCCTTTTGCTTGATTTGTCCTCAAACAAGGCGAACTGTACAGCACTTGCAAAGGTAATTCAAAATCTTGGGTCTGAAAGAATGAAGTCAGAGTCATAAATGGTCGATGATTTCCAAGCTTGTACAAGTCATTTGCTGCTTATGCGAACTGTGTTGGTCTACAAATGGTTTGCTAAACACAGGTGGATAGATTAACTCTAACTTCAGGTACCATGCCTTTTTGATTCAAGAAAAATCTGAAGTCTGCCTCCAAATGTTATGAATCAAACATACAACTGGAGGTTAAAGCTACCATGGAGAATAAAGGTACCTCTCTTAATGCCGCTAAATGTTGGGGATATCACTTCTTGCTTTCCCTTTTCTCTTTGCTGGAGTTATATGTCGTACATTCTTAACTTATTTCACTGCTAGTCTGGTTGTTGGCACTCTAAATCATCGAGATAGTTTCTCAATGATAAACGCAAAAGATGCTGCATGATTTAAAATGAAGGAATTTTCTCAAAACTAGGACTTAAGTTTAGTCGTCTTGTCTTCTTTCTGTATGTTTCATTCTTATATTGTTGAACATGCATCCAAGCAAGCTGAATTTTATTCATTGGTTGACACTTTTATGAAATTAAAAAAGATGGTTTTGTCAATTCAAGCTCTCATGTTTTTTGCTTGTGTATTAGCTTATGTTTATTTCTGATCACTTGTATTACACTCCGACTACTTGTTCTGTCAGAAAGTGTTCTCCCTAGTCCTTACAACTTTTTAGGTGAAAAGAGACTGGGATTGTTTTTGCTTTCCGACATACCTAAGAATAATCTTTGTGAGATTAATTGCTCTTAAGAATATGATTCTAGAATCAATTTTTCAAGCACTTTGTAGTCATTATTTTATTTCTGCCACTTATTTGTTTTCTTATTTCTGCTTTGATCTGGCTTATGCTGGATGCAGGACTGAGCATTACACATCTTGCGGAACTGTTGAGATATCAGGGGTCAACAGGCTGGAACTAAGGTTTGGAGGGGGCTTTATTAGGATTTGGTTTTTGATCTCTGTTCAACCATGTGTATTGTCCTGTTTGTTACTGGAGATACTGGTTCTTGTAATCATTAGATTTATAATTCTCTGCAACCCTTGTCATCAGAGAAAGTCCTCTGAAGCAGATCATATTGATGTATTTCTTGAGAAAAGCTCCACTATAATGGGGTAGTGAAGGAAGCAGGCAAGTAGCAGTCGGGTCCTTAAGACAAATTTCTGAAATAGAGTGGATTTATAACAGTGAACAATGTAAATGGAGTGGCAGTGGATGAAGCTATATATGATGAGGGATGCCGTAAAAAAGTTCAAAACTTCATATTCATGCTCGTTTGACTGCCTGTTGAGGGTTATGAAGGGTGGGAAGCCAGGTTATTGCAAAAGAAGTTTTGGACGAGGTGCAAGCTGCTAACGTTATTTGAAAGGCTTATGTTGGAGTCAACACTGAATGGTGTATTGCAATTATTGTGAGTTTTTTTCCCAAATAATTGTCAAAGAAAGGACCTGGTCCCGGAGTGGTGTGGACAAATTTAGTTGTCTCGGATTAGTCAAATCCGAATCTATCTATTTTATACTAGATTCGGATTTGGCAAATCCGAATCTCTTTGTATTACAAGTATGTGATGAATCAATTCTATTGGGTAGATTCGGATTTGGCAAATTCGAGACAACTAGTTTTTTCCACCAAAAATAGAAAAAAAATTATTTTTGTCCACATCTTTTTTTGGAAATTTTTTTGGCCGAAGCACCCCAATTTTTGCACATTATGGGAGCTGAGTAGGTAGGTCTCAAATATGATGTACCATGCCATCATTGCATTGCCAGTTCACAAGTAATCTCTTAATTTTAGGTTAAGGGGATTCATGCTGGGCACTGAATAGACCAATTTAGTTCAGAAGTGAGTGGATCAAGTTCCTTTTTCGTGCTTCATTCCAACCACCCTCTTTCTGAAATCTTCTTCTTCTTTTTTTTTTAAGTCAAGAAGATGGAAATCATTTTTTGGGGGTGGGGTAGGGGGTTGAGATATATCCAGAAAATTTATTGATTTTGAGTATACTGATCTGGGCGATATTGGGTTGATTTTGGAGTTATCGGATTTTACATATGAGACAGTCTATTTGTAATAATAACAATCGTCTTTTATCGGAATCTGGCCCGCCGATGGACAGCCGCCAATCGGCCGGTGATGGTGACTAGACCCCAATAGAAAAGAAAACATGATTGTTGAGATTATAGTAATCTATTCTTATGAATTATTCTAGCAAACTACACTCTGCTGTAAACGTTTGTTTCAAAATGACAACTCACATTTCACTTCATAATTCGATTCGTTTAAAGCCAGAATTTCAAAAGTCTGTAATCGAAAAATTGAGATGGTAAGTGACAGGGGGGGAGGGGTTTACCGTGATTTTTCCTTTTTTAAGTATACACATATAAGAGGCTCATAAGAACTTTTCCGACAATGAAGATCCGAGAGAATTAGGAGCTTTGTAGTTTCCTTTTTTTATGCAAACAATTTTCATAAAACTACCAAATCAATGCTTTGGCTCTTCCTTGCAGTAGGTTTTATGTGTTTGATTGGAGTTAGTCGCCATTACTACTTGTTAATATTGGTGGGATCTTTTGTTCGTAGTGGTCTTTTCGTACCAGCAGCGGTATGTGTATAAATTTATTTTCTTTTAAACTTACGTCTCCTTGTGTACTGGAAATATGAGTGAAATGTATTAATTATTACTCTCTTTATTTAAAAAAAAAATAATAAAAATCTACATTATAATTTCTAAATTATATTGAACATTTTACAAACTATAATATGAAACGGAGAGAGCATTACTTAATTAATAATTGATGGTAACAGTTTATTCATGTCGCCGGAGTGAAAAGTAAATTTTATGTGAAATATAATAAATTTATTACACTTTTTTTTGTCTTACTCAATTATGACATTACTAACAAGTTTATCTCATTGAAACACATCATTTAATTTTGTACTAGCTACACCTTTCATTGTCTCATTAATCAAAATAGACCCCTATTTAGTCAGATAACCTTCAAGATAAATCAATTCTAAGAGTTTTTAAATTTAGATGTATCATGACTATATAATTCAAATTTCTCCATCAGAATTGCATCACCAGTATATATAAAGTAAAACCTCACGAGCCACGATATTGCATAAATCAAAATTTAAAAATCATAACTTGTGCGTGCTGTTTTGGGCTTCAAATCTTTAGCTACAAATCAACACGAAATGGGATTTTTCAAAAATATTACGATTTCATATGCAACGTGGCCAGTTTTGCCTTTCCCGCCACCGCTCATATACGTCAAATGAACCGATTATAAATCGATTATCCGAAATTGTAGTAGTTCATCGCTGACAAATTATTTAAGAAGATCCATCCCATCTATTATCTATATATATAGTGCTTTCTTATGTTTTTGGAAAAATTATCAAGTGCTTTAGACTTCAAACAAATGGAGAATCGTTATTCAAAAAAAATGACACTATTTGTGTTATTATTATTCTGCTGCGTAATTATGGCCTTTCCTTTGGCTTATGGTAACAAAGGTCATACCAACAATGGCCCTAAAGAGGTGGAGAAATGGTTCAAAAACCATCACCGCCTTGTTCCACAACAGAAGCTAACCGAGCTCCATTTCTATGTTCACGACAACGTCACTGCCCGGAACCCGACGGCTACGCTGATCGCCCCGGCGCCCAAGATCGGTTCAGGCCCGGTTTCGACCGTGTTTGGAGCGACCTACGTTATGGATGATCCGATAACGATAAGTCCGGATCCTAGTTCGAAAATCATTGGTCATGCTCAAGGTATTTTTACTTTCACTAGCAAAACCGAACCGGCTCTTTTCATGGGGATCACTATGGTGTTTACGGACGAAAAATATAACGGCAGCACTATAAGCATCCTCGGCAATAACCCTATTAGTCGTGACTACAGAGAGATGCCGATATTAGGAGGCACTGGAGTGTTTCGGTTGGCTACTGGAATTGCTACTATAAATACCGTTACCGTGGATATCGCCAAACTCAATGATATTCTCGAGTATCATGTAATCATCCAACATTATTGAACGGCTTGATATCATGAAGTAGATACAAGTTCCTATATTTGTACAATTTCCTTATTCAGGAATTATATTGGAGTTATTATTAATAATAAAATATAATAATTAATGTATTTCAATATTGGAAGTGCGCATTTTCTATTATATTTGTTCCTGAATGTATTGAATATATTATAATGGTCTTGGTGATCTTTAATTTATTGGTTGTTCAACAATTTTATAAACTGATTATAACTTAGATGGTTTTTTTTTTTCGGTTGAACCTGGACGGTACCTGGCGGGGATGACGCCCCAGAGGATTCACGTTTGAACAGAATTTAGAAACCAAATCATGGAAAAAAAAAATATTGAAATTAACATTACCAAAACAATACAGAGTTAAACAACATCGAGGGCCAAAAAATGGAGGTAGAATTATTTAGCAGAATTATACGAAAAATACTGTGTCCTCCCATAAGAAGTGCAAACAGCTTTCTTTAGCATTGAAACCTCGAAAAGTGAATAATCTAAGCTCGCCATCGTCGCTTCCGGTATGCTATATCAGAACACAGATACTATGCCTTGGACATTCTATCTTCGATGAAGCAATCGTGGAAAAAATGGCATTGCTGGTGCCTTAATTCTTCAACTCATGTTTTCTGAGTTTTGTCAGCACCTGGATCTCTAGTTTGCTCTGCCTGTGGGAGCAGCTCTCGGAGTTGGGATTAAAGCAGCAATAAGATGACCAGAAACATAAAAAAGGGATCGTCATCAATTGATTCATAATAAGGAGAAATGATCATTTTTTTGAACTGCAAAGATATTGTGGTGTCTGAGACTAAGTGATGCTGATTTAAGTTATAATATTTGGGTATATAAAGTAGAAGCAAAGTTGGTGAAAGTACAAAATGAATTTAGATCAAACTTTTTTTTTTGTAAGTATCCAGATGCATAGAGTATGACTGAACTGTGAATTAAGTGAATTCAATTAGCATGCTTCACCTACAGTGCTTCTAACTCAATATTGTAACTTAAATCTACATGGGCGCTGGATCTTTTTAGTCCCTAAAGTATTTTTTAGTTCAATTTCCGTCTCTAATATTTTTCGCGTGAAGAAATTACTCCTAATCTTGACAGTTTTTTTTGTTCAAAATTAGTCTTATTGGCCGGATCCGGTCACTATTCCGGCGAAATATGATTTTTTTTATTATTTTTAAGATAAGATAATTACAGATTTTCTCTAAAATTTTATAATATTATCAATTTTACCTCAATATTTTTACATTTTTTCAATTGAATCCAATTTTAACTAACTTTAGTACATAACTTTTTCAATTTTACTCTCTTCACTTTTATATATCCAAATCAAATCTTTCCATCAAACAATATAAAATGTTCTACATTGTTTACCTTATTCTTCTCATATTTACCATGAACAAAATAATCTTAAATATTTATTAATGTATTTGTTTCCCTCAAATTATTTTTTTTCTCTACTGGCCCTATAATAAACCAAAAACCAACACTTCACCATTTACTCCGTTGGTCCATACAAAATTATAAATATAATCGGATGAAAATAAATAAGTAAATATTTTAGGATATTTTTTATTTTGTTTTGGATAAAAATGAGAGAGTAGGATAAATAATGTAATAATTATATATTTTTGGAAGTAAGATTTGATTGGATAGCATATTTTATATTTTATATTTTTATAGGATTCTTTTATTCCCCTGGCCTAATACTAAACCAATTATCATATCTTTTAACATTATACTCATAAAATTAAAAAAATAATAAAATAATAATACCATTAAAAAAGTAAAGAATACTAAAAGAACTTTTAATAAATAATATTAAATTAAACAAAATTTTAAGTAAAATTTACATTCAAAAAAATTTGTTCAAATTTCTTTTCTGTTTCACTCTAATGTTTTATTTTTACCCGACTAACCACCCTTTCATATTAGAAAAATTTGTATTTCTGAATATTCATCTTTTAAATATTTTATTTGACCTTTTTACCAGATAAAATCTTTTCAAACCTTATTTTAGCTTACCTTATACATATTGATTATGTCAAAAAAAAAAAAATTAAAGCACTGAGGATATTCGAAAAATAAAAATTTCTTTGTTATTTTGATTTTTTTATTGACATAAAAAAAACACATAAAGTAAATCAAGAAGGGTTCTAATTCTTAAGGGTGAAAATATAAAATAACTAATCAAAAATATGACAATGAAAAGTTTAGATTGAGAGAAAATGGTGTTCGGGAAGAAAGAATTGGATTAAAAAAAAGGAAAAAAATTTGATTTTGCACGTAGTTTTTTTAATTTCAACAATAATTTATCATGGAATATTTTATTAATTCAATATTATTTATTATTAAAGCAATTTTATAATATTAAATAATATCAGGGTATATTTATTATTAAAGTTATTTTATAATAATAAATAATACTACGTAACGAAACCATAGAAGACCAATTCATATGCCAAAAGGGAAACAAGGAATTGATCTAAGAAAGATGAGCATAATACTCCATCTGTTCCAAAAAAAATAATCCAAGTTAAGTTATGAGTTTTGTATTATTTTTGCTTTATACATATTTTAGAACTCAATGTAAACTATTTTGTTGAGATGGAGGGAGCACTAATTGAATCCAAATGATTCTTTTTGCTTACGGGATATTCCCATAAGAAGGAAAAAATCAAATTCCTGAGTTTACAAACAACAAAGTGGTTGAGGGATGGAGGGAAACAACGATCATCTAGGAAGAAAAACGGAAATTCCAAACAATGGAGAAATTAATACCTTACTTCCGCT